ACTGCATTTTTAGTACTTTATTAGTGTCGAGAATAATAACAGGTAATTCATATCAACTCAATACACGAATTACTTTGCGTATCAGAGAACTATTGTTTCACATAATTATAGAACTGAGTAAAAAAAACAAACCAAAGATGATCACAAAAAAAGACAAATCTTAAGAAACAGAACAACAGAAGAAGAAAAATTGCTCATCTAAATTTAATTTTTACAACAGATAGAGCAATAAGAGACAATTGATATATTGATTAGCAGATAGCAGAGAGATAATTGATTAATTGATAGCAACTTCAGCAAAAAAGCTCGAATACTAATGAAAAAAACTGATTAAAGGTCGAGTAGAAATAACGCTAGATCGGCAAGAATCTTCCGAATTAAAGCAGACAGAAGGAATCCTCTAACGAAAGGTGAGAACCACGACTACTAGTAAACAATTGTCCTGAACCATTAATCGTAAACAAAAATGCTTAAACGAAGATTTACCAAACAAAACTCAAAATAACGTCGGATGGAAAAAGTCCAAGAAAACGAGAATATGACAAGTTTCCGGTTTATGTGGCTTACATAATCTAGCCAATACATGTTTTATGAATAGTGCATTACAATGCTTAAGTCTTATCAGAATTAAAAGTTTATTTTACATTAACACAATATAACGATGATATTAATATGGAAAATGTGTTAGGCACGAGAGGAAAAATAGCTGAAACATTTTGGTCAGCTTTTAAATATTCTATGATCAAATCAACACGGTAAACTGGATGAACAACTTCGACTGTTAAAATAACATATAAGTTATGTTAATGAATATAATCAACAAGATTCGCATCATTTATTACATTTTTATGCAGACAAAATGTGATTTGCTGTTAAGCTGCATTCAACAAGCAGCCGAAAAATCGATTCCCTTTAAAGATATTGTTTTGCGAAACAGAGATCAACCTTGGTTCACGGATGACTTGAGAGCGTTGTATAGGCGTAAAAATAAACTTTTTAGTCAGTGTAAAACTCTCATTTCATCTGTGAGCTCCAAACAGCGGTATAAGGAAGCTCAAAGACAGTTTGATAGGGCTTGCCGTGACGCAAAAGAAAGCTATTTTCAACGTATAAACCGAATTAATAGTGGGAGTAAATACTGGTGGAAACTCGTTAAGCACAACATTCGTGGAACTAATACATCTTCACTACCAGTTCTCCAAAACATCAACTCTCAGTTGATTTATGATGATCAGGAAAAGGCTCAGTTATTGAATGAACATTTTGCTTCTGTGTGTACTATGTCAAAGGCTGATTGTAATACCTCTATTCCTATTGACCTCCTCCCAGATGTGAGTTCTTCGCTCTTTTCTTTTCATGTTTCTGCGAGGGAGGTTGAGCATATCTTGTCTCATCTAGATATCAATAAAGCAACCGCACCAGGTGTCAATAATCGTCTTTTGCGTGAATCCTCATCAATTATTGCTGAAGATGTAGCTTCTATCTGTCGTAGCTCTCTGTTCACATCTACCTTTCCTAATTCTATGAAGTCGGGTTACGTCATGCCATTATTCAAAGAAGGGGACCGTACAGTGCCTAATAATTACCGTCCTATTACATTGTTGCCTGCCCTGTCAAAAGTAATTGAGAGAGTCATCTACGAACGACTATACGAATATCTGACGGCAAACAAACTCCTGTCGGTTTTTCAGTCGGGTTTTCGAAAGAAGCATTCGACCGTACACCAGTTAGTAGATCTAGTTCGCTCTATTTATAAGGATAGAGCGGCGGGAAAAGATATTCAGGTAGTCTTCTTGGATTTCAAAAAAGCATTTGACAAGGTTTGGCACAATGGATTACTGTACAAATTAAGAAAGAAAGGCGTTTGTCCTCAACTAGTTGCGTGGTTTGAGGATTACTTACTAAATCGACATATCACAACAGTAGTTGGAGGTAAACAATCAAAACCTATCCGTATTAACAGCGGCATACCACAGGGAAGTATACTGGGTCCTCTACTATTCCTTATTTACATAGATGATATAGGACGCGACCTGACTTCTAAGACTCATATTTTTGCTGATGACACGTTACTATATAGTAGCGATGATAACTACAAAAAGGTCACCGCGATTTTGAACGATGATCTTGATATGGTTTATCAGTGGTCTCTGCGATGGCAGTTACCATTAAACTTAATAAAGTGTGTCTCAATGTGCTTTTCGAAAAAACCATCCCAGGGTAAACTGCAAATATCAAAACATGTTCTTCAACGTGTGGAGGAACACAAACATTTAGGGGTGTACTTTACATCTTCGCTATCCTGGAAGTGTCATATTTCCTATGTTGTTTCTAAATGTAATTCTCTTCTGGGCATGATGATGAAGTACAAGTATACGTTTTATACACCTGTTCTTGACCAAATATACAAATCATACATTCTGACTATTTTGAGTTATGCTGACGTTATCTACACATGCACGCCGAAGTCATCGTTGACGTCCATTTCACGGCTGCAATACCGAGCGGCTCTCCTAGTTTCTGGTGCATTTCATTTGTCCAGCAGAGACAGAGTCTTAGAAATAATGGGATGGCCTGACATTCAGCAGCTCTATGAAATTCATAAGTTAACATTGCTTCGGAAAATTATTAGAGGCGAAGCACCTGCGTATCTCACTTCCTGTATTGAAAGTAGAGAGACCGTTCCATACAACTTGCGAAGATGTGCAATGTTTAGATGCTTTTCCTTCGATTCAGTGACAGCTGATAGATCCTTCTTCCCATTTACTACCCAGGTTTGGTCAAAACTACCCCAACATATAAATATCACGTCTTCAAAAACGTTCCAAAAACAGCTTCTCACTCACTACGGATGTTTCTTTTCTATTTTTCGTGTTCATAATATCCCGAGAGCTATTGATGTGCTATACAGTAGACTTCGCGTTAAATTTTCTGTTTTGAAAGCTGATTTATGCAAAAAAGCATTGGCTTCGACAAGTTCATGCAAATGTGGAGAGGTGGAGACTGTTCAGCATTACCTTTTGGATTGTGTGTTATATCGCGCTCAAAGAATAACTCTCATAAAAAAAATCTCAACGATAACAAACACTCTTACCCTCAGTCTTGATCTCCTTCTATTAAATGTGACGCTCTCGAAAGAAGATTTTTTATGTGTATATCATGCAGTTATAGAGTATATTTGTACTTCAAAACGTTTTTTAGAAGAACAATAGTATCTTTATCTTTCTCTTTTCCTTGTTCTTTTCGGTCTTGCTTCCTTTCTGGTCTCGAAACAGACCTTGATTATTACTTTCACTTCTTCGTTTTTCGTTTTTTTTTGTCTTTTTCTCTCTCCCTGTATCATCATACAACCATACGCGCGCATATATATATACTATAAAACGTGTATCTACATTCTTTTTCTCCATTCGCTATCTTATTTTCTTCTTTCTACTTTTATCAGAACCTTCAATTGTTATCACAACATGCGTAGCTCTTGTTTTTCTCTATCGCCGATAATAATGGAGCTTGTCTCTCTTTCGGTGGGTAGAGATAGTATAAAATTGCTGATTCCTTACTTTTTCAAATAAATAGCTTATATCAAACATTTTTACTTACCAACAACAAAGAAAGATTTTTCTGACGTTAATCCAAGAGATTTTTTGTGTAAGTTAAATTCTGCGGCTTCTGTGCTCTTAGCTTGAAGCGTGCGAAAGCAATTCTTGGGAAATTTTCAGATTTCCATTTTTTTCCCAGATTCTTGGTAAAAAATCGTGCCGGATGCATCGATGATGAGGTGTGACTTTTAGATCAAAGTTTAAGCGTAACATATCTATCAGCTTTACAGGACAGTTTTTACGGCTCTTTCGGTTTTCTCCATGCTTCATAAAAACCATAGAAAGTCAAGAATGTCTCATTTTGCACACATATTTGAAAAAGCTAAGTTATCTATAATGGGATGCAGAACTGAGCGCTGATTCCGTAATGGCTAATGTCTTGTATATAAGCTAAGAGAACGAGAAAAAGGACAAAATCTGCCCAAAAATTAACAGTTCGAAATGTTTTCAAAATTAAGAAAATTCAAAATAAAAAACTCTCAGTATTTAAAAAAAAATAGCACTTGACTTGAAGTTCATTGTCAAAAAAGATTTCAGTTCGTTGGGCTTGTACAGTAACCCAATGATAGATTGACAGACTTGATAAATTGCAAAAAAAAAGAAATTTCCTTGATGACAGCGTGAGAAATCACCGGCTCATTCACCTCTAACGGAAGAATATTTTACATTTCAAATAAGTTCAATATGGTTTCTGTGAGCGGAAATCTTGTGTTGTCTCCCTCCACCAATAGCCTGCTCCATAGTGGAGTCAACAAAAAGAACTCACTATATTCAAGTTGTTATCCGCTATTTTCTAGTTGGAAGAAGTAGCTGATGCGAGTGTTAGCCTATCTATCTGCAAAAAACTCTGTTCACACGGGCAAGTGCTGATGGACAAAAAGGAAAACAAATTTCACCACTACGGAAAAATATGGATACACACATAAAACTTGTTATAGCTCTGCCACGTCGAAAAAAAGGCAGAAAGAAGTGAAAATTGGTATAAATGTCGTGGGCATAAAGATCAACAAAACAGACAAATAAAAATTCAAATCTAACATGCACTGTACACAGCGAGCTTTCAGGGAATCTCAAACACTCGTTTTTAAATCGAACGATACAATACAGCTTCTGTCAGCTTTCTCAACTTTTACATTCCTACTTAACCAATATGACGATGTGTTAAATGTGTTATCAACGGTTTCTTGAGCAGCATCCATTGTGTGATATGCCAGATATGCTGTTAATTTAAATTTGATCAGTTCCGGATAATATTCTCTAAAAATCAATGCCCACTCATTTCCATCTAAAAACTGGTCAACTGCATTATAACAAGTGCACTCGAATGTTTTCACATTTGGTGTCATTTTTAACAGCCCTTCAAATTGTTTCAAACTAATGACGTGCCAATCAAGACCCAACTTTAGATAAGTGCAATTTAGAAGCGGAAGAGTCGCTGTAAGTGGTGCGACTGGGACAGCTAACCAAGCAACTTCGATTGATTTTATGTTGGGTATACACTCCAGAATTCTCATAAAGCCTTCAGCAGTGAGATACGAAGGCAGTGAGAGATGCTGAATTTTCATCCTTTTTATCGGAGTAAATGGTAAAGTAACTATTCCCAAACTATTATACAGGTTTTCAACTTCGAAGTGTGTTATTGATGCGAAAGTATCAGGTTTGAAAAAGACAATTTCCCAGATTTGTCTCATTTGTTCACAGGAAGACCCGTTGGCTCGCATTTTTACTAATCTAAGTTGATCTAAGAGAGAAATTTGTTCTGTGATTATGAGAGCAGCCGTTAACGACGTAGCTGATTTTAGTAAGCGAAGTTGCGTGAATGAATTTAGGGAAAAGCTTCCATTAATTATTTGCCAACGATCATCTCGCAGTTCCACTGATCGCACACACATTGGATTAATGTATGGGGATATAAACTTCTGAAAATATTCATAGTCCTTGTGTTCTAACAAACGTAAATGCTGATTTGGCGTTTGTGAGAGAATCGACGTGATCTTTGGGTTCAAGTTAGACAAGGATCGATACATTTGAAGAACATCAAAGAACTGAAGGACTTCGTGCCAAATCTCTACGGGAAAGATTTCGATCGTCGTTGGGGGAGGACGCCTTGACATCATGATGAATGTAATATAAATATCTAGAGCAAATGTGCATACATCTCGGGGTATTGCATTCTATCCCGTGATACGTTTTTAAGTCTATAGTTTCCACATTTTAAAGCCATTCTACGCTCCTATCTTAACGTAAGATGTCTGACACAAGACAAATCGCTAACGAATAGCTGTTTAAGTCAATAGTCACCTTTACACGTGAATGAATGAATGAATGAATTTATTCTTTTGTAAAAAAGAACACGTAGAAATTACAAGAAAGCTAGAGCTTGTTCCAATGTAACACCAGATAAAATAAAAGCTCACACACATACACACACATAGCAAAAATTTAGACAGTAAAATGATGTTATTTCAATACAGTTGAAAATGCTCTTAGCGTATTCTGATGAACAACAGTACAAGGCAATTTGTTCCTGTCCTCTATAGTTTTGGGTACAAAAGAACCACTTCAACTTACTCAGTAATGACTCAATGTTTTTTGTTTTTCAACTTACGTTACAGTTTGCATAATCTTCATACCTCTATTACTCATAATTTCTTTTTATCTAACGCCACTCGAATTTTGCGATAGTTGTGCAAGAACAGAAAGAGAAAAGGCAAACAAAATCACG